CTCGGCCTTGTTGGTTTGCTATGTAGTGAGCCAGTGAATGATATCTGTCATTTGAATCTCCCACTAGTTTAGCTTGAAGAGATACCTTCTGGTTTGGTTCAAGACCTTCAACGTCGATGTTGACTTTCTCGTCCATCTTGGCTGACAAAGGAGAACATGTTAGCTGCACCTTCTGAGCTAAATTCATACACGAGTTCATAATAATTCTATCACTTTCTTAGATTAATAAGCGCTTTCAGAGATGTAAAAACTATTTTTGCAGTGACCTATTGTGTCACGCTACCTCTTTATATCGTGCCAGTCCCACACGATAATTTGTCTCCACAGGTAGGCCAACAACATGAAAACTGTGATGTGTGGCAGGATCGGAGCTCCTGGATGTGGCTTTAAACATCGACTTACATGTAAATATGATTATTGATCGGTTGAGATTAAATATGTTTCCTTATCTTTCTAGAGATAACATCAATATCTTACATTATGCGTCGTGGCCCTAGGTGATCGAAGAAAGGCCGTATACCCACCCCTCTACTACAGCCGACACGCATGCTAACATAGTTGATTAGAAAACTGGACATGATATCAAAAATGTTTCCTTACTTCCTCGCCGATCATAGTATAAATAATACTACATGTTCAAAACGTTTCACCAGTAGCAATTTTAGCTTCCAGAATAATCCTTTTTTTTTAGAATAATCTAATAATCGGCGACGGTGTAATAAGTGTAAAACTGTTTTTTGTTGGAACATGCACGCATGGAACGCCACCATATATCCATGAAATAATTAACTATGTCATGCCTTAATATTACTGAGTTGTTAACAATCTAATATATAGAGAGAGGATATTACATGGGCGAGCGGARRGTKAGCGTAGCGAACGAGTGAGAGATTTTCAACACGAGAAGATAAAATTCGTATCTCCAAGCGACCATGTAATTTCCATTCTGTTTATGTTATTATTCGTGCGTACTAGTGGAAATTAAAATTTTCACAAAAATTACTGAAAAATTCACATAAAATTGATCCCTTTTATATACCCAGGTGTCTCTCAAAACGCTGGAAATCGCAATTCCAAGAGTTATTCCAAGAGTTGACATGTGCGTACCAGCGAAAAGTCCACGCTACTCGCCTGGAATTAACCATACAAAGGTTGCTGTAAATATGTCGTGATTTCATGTGACCCGTTCCGTTCCAAAAGGTCATAAACTATGTGTCTTTTTACAGTAACCTGTATTTGGTTAGACTTCAGACTGAAATTTGGACTGGAATGAACTGAGGATCGCGGGTTCGATTCTCGACTCCTTTCTGTAAAATACTTGTTCTTTTTCCTTCATAAAATGCGAAATGACATTCCATCTTTTAAATCTTCAGAGTAAAATGGAATCCAATACTAAATTTTCGCTGMAATGATAAAAATATTCAGAATAAATAATGGCAAAAGATCATAAACAGAATCCATCAAATCCCGACTCATAAAAAAATTCCACGGCTAGACATGGTGTGTTCCACAAAGAGTTTTTTTTGTTTTATTCAAGATGTACAAAGGTYACAAAAACAACAGATATATTGCATTGTTAAAAAACTGTGCTCTGCAAAAATTCTGGTGTAGTCTTAAGTCCAGTACAAAATCCAGTACCAGTCTAAAGTCCGGTAATTTTTTAACATAAAAGAGCCGACGACCGACCGACGACCGCCATCTTGACAAGAAGTCAGCCGAGATGGTCCTGGGGATGAGGTTCCTAAGAATGAATGCCTTTCAACTAAAACAGCTTGCACATTGCGTTGCACGTTCTAAATTGCTTACCATCAGAATATCAAGTAATCGATTTATCATGACTTCCTGTTGGACGCAGGCTAAAAAAGTACAGCTAGCGTGTTCTCCTTTGTTAGCAAACATGGACGAGAAAGTCACGATCGACGTTGAAGGTCTTGAACCAAACCAGAAGGTATCTCTTCAAGCTAAACTAGTTGGAGATTCAAATGACAGATATCATTCACTGGCTCACTACATAGCAGAYSARCAAGGCCGAGTTTRTTTGAATTCTCAGCCTTCTGTTGGAGGGTCGTATGTTGGCGTTGAGCCGATGGGATTTATGTGGAGTCTTGAACCCGAACCAAATCAGAGACCTGGCCGACGACTGTTGAAAAGAGACGTGACAAAGCCTTATTTGGTAGACCTAGCGTTACTGGACGGACATGTTGATATTCTGAAAACAGAAAACTGTCATCCATTGTCGAGTTTAACGATCGAGAGGCATTACATGTCAGCTGGTGTAAGGAGGATTGATGTCCATGAAGGAAGGATAAGGGGGACGCTGTTCCTACCCCCTGGAGACGGTCCCTTTCAAGGTGAAGATTATTATCAAAGCATTCGCTTATACACTTAAAAATGTACCTGTTTTGATACGTTTCAAAGCAGAAAACTGCTGCCTTATTTGACTACTATACTTTCACTATAAAAAAAATTATGAAAAAGCAGAAATAGGACTACTTTCACAATAAGCCGCCGAGTTGGCTTTGGTTATTTTGCAATGCAAATTAGCCATGTGGTCTAGGGGGCAAACATTTAGTAAGAAACAGCAAATTTTGAGCAATGGACAATCTCTATACCGTACATCCATTCATTGAATTAAATTTATCTCGATGTCATCTTATTTATTTTGTTGATTTGATATCTACAGGAGTTATTGATTTGGTCGGTTCTCACGGTGGGATGGTTGAATTCAAAGCTGCTCAACTGGCTTCAAATGGCTTTGCAGCTCTTGCTTTGGCTTATTTGAATCACAGTGACCTTCCTCGTCGATTGAACAATGTCCAACTTGAATACTTCATAGAAGCTGTTGATTGGTTGAAAAATCACCCATCAATCATCCCAGGAGGGGTGGGGGTAATGGGGATATCTAAGGGAGCTGAAATTTCTGTACTACTTGCTTCACACTGTCAAGATGTCCAGGCAGTAGTTTCCGTAGGTGGACTTCATGGGCTTGCTATTGTTCCTATGATCTTCAGAGATAAACTTGTTCCGTTCATTAAATTTGATCCATCAAAGACTGTTTTATTGGAAAATGGTGCTTTAAAATGTAGAGATTGTTACGGTGATGACTGGACTGGACGTGTTGAAGAAAACCCAAACATCATTCCTTTGGAGAAAGCCAGTGCATCATTTCTCATTATTTATGGCACAGATGACCATGCGTACAATACTGAATTATCTGCAGCTTATATGTACAACAGATTAAAGGCGTTTGGTAAGGAGACACAGTGTTCTATTCTTGGTTACCATGGTGCTGGCCACCTAATTGAGCCTCCGTATACTCCACTTTCAAGTATGAGTTACCAAAAGTCTTTCGATATGTACTTGTCATGGGGTGGAGATACCAAGGCACATGCCAATGCTCAGGAACACGCATGGAAAAGGATATTATCATTCTTGAAAGAAAATTTACCACAAAGACAAAAGACTACTTGCAAATTATAAAGTATTCAGACATGTACATCTATTAAGCAAGGGTGCTGAAATATCATTCCTCATTGCACATAAGAATATCAGTGAGGGACTGTTCACTAATTATTGTCAAGTGGTGGGAAGGTAGAGTACAAACATTAAATGTGTGCAACACTTTTCACTATTTACTACAAAATAGTGTTAATTAAACAATAGAAAACAATAGAATTWTCATAATTTAGCAGTATTTAGTGGTATTTATGTTGCACAGTTTTAGTGTTTGTACTCTAGTATGTGGTTTCTTTGAAGTAGCAAGTAAAAATGAACTACCCCCCTCCCACTAATTAAAAAAAAAATAATTAAAAACATGCTCTAGTCCCTAACTTTGTTTCTTTGTTAAAAAGAACACTGCCTCCCAATTATAAACACAACACAAAAATGTATTTGATTGAATTTAATTTCAAAATAGTATGTGAAATTTTATTTTGACATCAGCTTGACTTGTTGTTCTTGTGCATTAAGCATCAATATTAAAATAACTTTGCAGTTGTCTTTATGTCTTGTCAAGAGGACGTTTTTTTCAGGAATGACTGTATATTAGAGTTCTGTGATTGAAACTTTAAAGTAGCTGAAAAATAATAATTATTTTGTTTCTTATTGTTTAATCTACACTATACAATTAGATATGTCTGAAGGTTTCAGCACTATATACATAATGAAATTCTCACAGAGAATCATGCCTTGTTATCAGAAAGGTTTGAAAACATCGATTCTCTTTAAATCTGTTGTAGAAAAACATTTTTACCACCAAATCAAATGTTTACGATGACATGTTGAAGTTATTGCGTGCTCTTAGTTGCCTCATCGTATGACGGTGGGGGTGGTATTGGTTCATTGTTTTGATCAGGATATGGCACAGCTCCAGCTTGAGCACCTTCTAAGTTTCCAGGGGGATACATCTGTTGCTGTGGCGGATATGCCGGATTGAATTCCGGATAAGGGGGAGGATTGGGCCCTTGTGGATCAACCACAGGGGGGTATGGTGGATAGGAGAATTGTCCTTGAGTTGAACCAACGCTTGGAGGATACATAGAATAATTTTGAGGTGGATATGGATTATTTGGATTTCCTTGCGATCCAGCCCCAGGGGGGTGGATTGGTGGTATACTTGCTGCTTCAGTTTTTGGCAATGGTTGTGTTGGTTGCACTTGTGTCGTAGTCGCTCGAGTTGCATTATCGTTGTTTGAGCCAGAAGCCGGAGTGTGAGTTCTCTGTGATAAACTTACCAAAACCATCAATGCCGGGAAAATTAAAGCGAATCCCAGGTACCTAAGTGAACGGAGGTGAACTGGCCCGATGTTTCCCACCACGATCGTAACTACTATTATAATACTGAGAATGGACAACATCTTGTATCGCTTTCGTCTGTCGATAGCGTTAAGTCGAATCATACTAGTTGAAAAGATAGACCCCATTGCGATAAATTAATCTGATAGTCTGGTATAGTTTTAGCTGAATCGGCGAATCGAGTTTTTGTGGACGATGATCAAAGTCTCGAGTTAAAACACAATGTTTTTGAACGAAAACGTATAGTTGAAATTGAGTTATCAAGCATATCTAATTTGCATGTTATATAATAAAATGCGTCACAATAGGTAAGGTGAAAACAATAGTCTTGAATGTCTTGAATAACTTGAGTAATCATAACTATATTGTAAAAAATCCTTTCACAAAAACCTTATTGAAAGCCGCAAATATTTTCAAATACCCAAATACATTTCATTGTAAAAACGGTTTCAAAGAGATATATTTGAACTTTAGTTCAAAAACGTATACATAATTAATGAGTTATTAGGGCAATAGAATGAGCCTATTTGGTCACATGCATGGACCTTTATATCTGATAAAACACTCCTGTTAGTATTCTTTATATAAAGAAGTGACCTTTATCAGAAATAAAGGTCCATGACCTTAGCAAAGTTCTTAGGTTTGATAACTGATCATTGACCTATGCAGGATGTCTACCGAATTCATTAAACAGCCAACAGCCCTTCTATTTTACTTTATGCGTATTCAATGTGGGATGACAAGAGTGCTTTGTCAAGTGATTCGCGCATGATCAGTTTGCCCTATTTATCTCAAAACATTTTTACGGCAATTTCTCCAAGAATTTTAACGGATTTGAGTTTCAAATTAGTGTTGGAGTTTTTGAAGCCGTTTAAAACACTCAAGATCGTGTTTTAAACTATACTTAAAGTATATAGGGATTTTTTTTTAACGGCGTTCCGCCCGAATGATCTTTTGCCTTTTGGATTACATGTAATTCCTTTCTACTGAAGATCTATTATTTCGTTGCTTGTTTTATCTCATGACAATATTTTTGAAAAAAAAAACAGTACTTATAAAAGTTTACTTAAACTCTATAGAAGAGCAATACGACCATCATGCATGCTTCGTGTTAAAGTTTTTCATTTTTTTTAGAAAGTCATAGTGGACTTGTTTGATGATCCAAAAGTGCTGTACAATGTATGCCATGCATGGTCGTGCTGGGTTGTCTGGGTATATTGCATATTCTATTGTCTGCATTTATTGTTTACGATCAACTGAGAATTCTTATTTTTTCGCGCATTTTCTCCCAATTCAAGATGGCGGACGCTAACTTCTTTTAATTCCCGGGGGGAGGGGGGCACTCCCGGGTTTTAATGCAAACGTCTCGAATGCGATGCTGTTGCATGTGTTTCATATCAAGTCTAAAGTTTACATTCCATGCAACAAATGCTTTAATGAACAAATTACAGTAAGCTTTTCATGAAATGAAGATAAATCCTTTATTAATAGTTTATTCCATGGCATACACTCTTTTTGTTTTGTAATACCGTTTCTTCGTTTCTTGATTGGAAATAAGTCTTTTTTTAATCTAGTGAATCTAATAAATGTTTCAAAGAACCATGTTTGTACTCCGGTGCAAAATGAACCCGGTTGACCCAATTGGTAATATTGGTAACGCCAACTTATGAACGTTATAAGTCAAAACAATCCAACCATAGATATAGCTATAAATCTTGTATAACAACATAACCCCTTTGTTTTAGTGCTCGCCCTTCTTTGGATTCGAGTAGAACTTTTGTGCAAAGAAAAAAAAATTAAATCGAAGTCACGCGGATTGAACAGAATGTTTTGGTGTCATGACAACCTGACGTCAGTTTTAAAGCCTTTATTTGCGGTGCAAATAGCTCTGCTCTAGCTTACATCCTTCGTTTTTTGGTCCTTACTAAATTGCTTGATTTACCTGTTTGCGGAATCGTCAAACGAGRCAAGAACTATGTCTATTACAGCGGTTGTAGTGCTGATATTTACCGCTACCTTGCACTCGGAGTATCAGCGTTCAAGTAAGTTCATTAGTTTTAAGCCACGGCTGTCTTTGGTAGTTACGTTTTTCATGATATGTCATTTTGCCCGGTATGCATTTAGTACAAATCAAATGAATTGGCAGGCGATTCGGCATTTCTCAATATGTTATTTGCGCAGTGTGCACTCAGTGCACAAAGTGTAAAGTTTACAATAAATTGAATGATTTGGGAGAACGATTCGGCATTTATTTGTCATGTAAATGCTGGAGTACAAGTATGGCTTTTGAACTATAAATTACCATTTAAAGACTATAAATGTCAATTAAATACAAAGCCATCACTTTTTACGAATTACAGAGGAACAAAGTTCTCGATGGTGCGGTCAGTTTTGAAGGTATCCAGCTATTAAATTAGCGTTCTACTATTTATGATTACAAAGGGCGTATCGTTCTATACACAACTTGAGACGCTCTCATAGAGCGAGAACTCGTGACCTGATATTTCCGGGAGGTTTTAAACTCACATATAAGTGATGTTTCCATTTCGTACTATCATTTTTGGCCTTCCTATAAGGATTTTAGTAGGCATCTTGATCCTTTCCGCATTCCACAGAATGTCTGAGTCACTCCTCAGCGTGTTACTTGATTGATTGATCTCTAGACCTTGACACAAGTGAATTTTAATGGTATTAATNATAAATGAGTCATATATTTGTATTGCTTGAAGTTTTGAAATAAGGCCATTTTCATGCAAGTAGCACTTTAAACTCACATATAAGTGATGTTTCCATTTCGTACTATCATTTTTAGCCTTCCTATAAGGATTGTAGTAGGCATCTTGATCCTTTCCGCATTCCACAGAATGTCTGAGTCACTCCTCAGCGTGTTACTTGATTGATTGATCTCTAGACCTTGACACAAGTGAATTTTAATGGTATTAATCATTTTGATTTAGATACGTCGTAAGTTTCAAAAATAGCTATATACATACATATACACCTATTTCAAAAAACGTTGTCGTCGCCAGGACACATTCCATAGTCTTKAGMCTGCAAAGAATCTCGGKATTGTCATATATAATTGTGTATAGAGTCACTTTCAGTTATTCAAAGTTCTCAGTCTTGTAGCAAATATAGTTTTGAAGCTCATTGACGGTTAAAAAATGTGGAACGTGAATATGTCTCATGACGAGACTTGTTTGATGGGTTTAATACACGCAATAGTATTGTTTGCCTCCATTGAATTCAAACYACATACGCAAATATATTTTGARTATTAATTACGCATGAAAACCCCGAGATCCTTTGCAGGCTCAAGATTGTGGACTGTGTCCTGGTGACGACAACATTTTTTTGTTCAAAGCGCGTTAATCCAGGGTTAACTCCATAGGTTTTCTAAGAGTTAACMCAGGATTAGCACTAATTGGGCTTTGAATGACCTGGCCCAGTGTGCAGTGTCCATGATGCACATTTGCAAATCTATTTTCATTTAAGGTGCCTACAGCTGGATAAAACATCCTGATGCAGAAATAAAAATTATCTACCCGACTACAAAATCGGTGACGATGAAGTGGCAATGGAAATTATCGAAGAATAACACTAATTTAAAAGACGCCCCTAAGCTCGAAATCAAACGGTACAAGGAGGGAGATAAAAATGATACAGTAAAGACGCTTTTAAGCGTTGCCAGCGTTACCTCTGGGATTTATACCTCCGATGATTTTCATTATTTACTGACTTGGCAAAGAGAAGCAAATTTAGGTAGAAATGGCTATGCAGAGCTAACTATCCACGACGTTATGAAGCAAAGCAATAATAAAGATGGTACGAACGTTGATGTAATGAAAGCAAACTACACTTACAGCTGCCATCTTTCCGAGCCTTTTGATAATGATCCTGGTCCAAGATCGACAACACTGGTTGTCTACAGTAAGTATATTTTGACTTAAATATGTGTTTAAATTATACAAAAACTCTGCAAGATTGTATTATATTATGTACTAAAACCAATCAGGTAGCACGGAGTGTATTTTTGGTGTGTGTGTGTGGTGTGTGAGTGTTGGGATGTGGGTGTGTGAGTGTTAGGATGTGGGTGTGTGAGTGTTGGGATGTGGGTGTGGGAGGGGGATGGGAGGGTTCCACAGCAAATGCGGATCCAGAATTTTATAAGGGGGGGGGGGGGGTGTACTTTTGTCATTAATGTATAGAACTGATCATTATTGTCTAGAGCAAGAAAATTATGCACATTGACTTTTATTGCAACGTATCTTTGACGACACTTCTCTGAATAAATTGTTAGGCAGCATAGTGGCAGACACATGTTGTGTATGCTACACGTATTCTCGATTAAAGTACAACAGGAGTATAAACRACAGAAAACAACGTTTATACTGATATATTAAAAAATACGTCGTCGAAAAAGGGGGGTGAGTTCGCACCCAAAGCACCTCCCCTGGATCCACCCATGCACAAAGGACTGCGTCAAGTGTTRTTAAGATCTCTGATTGTTAAGTGACTTGATGTTTCATCGTTTGGCTACCTTTCTGATCAAGTTTTGCATGATAAGATGCATMAAAATGCTTGTTAATTAGCAAYTGAACTAGCTCAACAACGCCATTTGATGGCGTGGGTGTATTCAATGATCAAAMGTWTAACTGAACTTTAAGCGCAGAAGGCCACAAACCAGTGATGTAATTCCAAAAAAAATTAAAAGTTTTAAAACATTCTTATGTTTAAGAAATAGCAACAATAGTTGGAGTACCACCAAATCAGTACATCACCAGCACGAATCAAAGTGTTACCCTTAGATGCATTGCGGACGGGAAACCTGCACCCGTCATCAACTGGGATGTTACTAAAGTATCAGGACAACCATCGACCTTCTCTGGTTCTGAACTCGTATTGGATCCTTTCAGAAAAGAAGATGCCGGTGTCTATAGTTGCACCGTATGGAATCATGTTGGAAATGCAACATTTGTGGCAGTATTATTGCAGTTTACAAAATGTAAGTAAATAGGCATCAAATTTAGTCTCAATTGAAACGACGGCCCGCACTCCCTCGGGGAATATAGGGGAATTGCCACCCCTCGGGGAATATAGGGGAATTGCCACTTCACAATGTTAAAAATCCCCGCATTTTCCGGATTATGGCCAAAACGAAAAATTATTATATGTGGTAAAAACGCTATAGAGTCAACGTACTAAAACCGTGAAACAAATAGTACTAATTACTCCTATATCTGCAACAATTTGCAAGTGGATGAAGATTTTAAAAAGCAGGTGGATTTTTCTATTAAGGACTTTATATGGAATGGGCGTAAGCCAAAAATTAAGTCAGCAACCCTAATTGGGGACTATTGTTTGGGAGGTCTAAAAATGCCTAGGTTTGAATCCATCATAGACGCAAATAGAATCAAATGGGCCATTAAGTTTATAACATCGAACGAAAATTTAAAATCGTGGAATGCTATTCCACGAAAATATCTCAGCAAAATCGGTGGTTTTGAAAATATTAATCTGAACTTTGATGTTAAACGGATTCCAACGGGTCTTCCAAACTTTTATAAAAATATATTGTATCATTGGGCAAGTGTATCAAGCCGAGACACCACTAACGATTTAGCCTATATTGGAGAGGAGTTTCTTTGGAATAATAAGCATATAAGAATTGACAACCAGGCAGTGTATT